GCGGTCGCCGTCGCAGCCGAGCCGGGCCGGGCCCGCAGCGTGGCTATGAACTTCCTGCGGGGGGTGATGGGGGCGCAGAGCGCCGGGCCGCAGCCCTCCGGCGCCGAGACGGTGAGTGCGGCCGAGCCCCGCCGCCGCCCCGCTCCCTCTCTCCCCCTGGCGGTGCTGAGGCCGCAGCAAGGCGCCCTTTCCGGCTGGAGCCGCCCTGGCCCCCGAGCCCGGGCTCCCCGCGCTGGGCCCTGCCGCGCCCCCGAGGCGCTCTCCTGAGCCCCGCGCCGCTCGGGCGCCGGCTGCAGTGGGCCTCCTGGGAGACCTGGGGCCAGAGCAGGGCTTGGCTTCCGGGGAGGAGGGAGAAGAGTCAGGATTTCTTGTGTCGTTCCTACTTCTCGAGGTGAAAGGGCTCGGCTGCAGTCGGATTTCTTAGGGCTAAACGTGCACCTCGAGGCCAGCAGGGCAAAGATAAGCCACTTCCCGTAGCCAGCAGCAGGCAAAAGGTGAACACAGCCAGCAGTGCCTCTGGCTGCCCTGGACTCCCCACCCTGGGTGCCCTGGACACCTGTTTTCAGCCCAGCTGATTGTGCCTGGCCCTCCGCTCACAAGCTCCTGCCTGAGGAGTCCCACGCAGCCAGGTGTCCGAGCCACTGCCCCAGAGTCCCCTTACATTGCAGAGGACGCTGTGGGCTGTGTTTGGTCTAGGTGAAAGCTGCTCACCTGAGGAGCTGGTCTGTTATAAGTGAAGAATGGAGCATTTCCATATAGACTTGAGGCTCTGACTTATTCAAACCATACAGTGTGTGTGAAGTCACTTACCATAGCTTTTTATGTCAGGAATGAATCAAATGTTCAGTAAAATGTCAAAGAACTTCCAGTTAGGCAGCTGCCTCTTCCCTTTATGAAACTATTTTCTAAGTTTATTGTCTGCATAATCAGGTCTACACCTTGATTGTGGTACGTGGGTACCATATTGTAGCCTTGCCTTTTGGGGTATGGGGTGGGAGGGGGAATTAGATGACTTTGAAAGCCATAAGTACTTTGACTAACAAATTGAGAATGGGAGGGACCTTGTGAGGAAGATATGAAATAGATGTCCTGTATCTGCAAACTTTCTGACACAACAGAAAAGCTCAGGTTAGTCTGGTAACCTGTATATACTGGTGTTGCATACTTTACTAATAGCTTTTCTTTTCGTTTGTTTAATTATCATAGTCCTTTTTTGGAGGCTTAGTAGCTCTTTTGTGATTGGGATGAAATTTTTTAAGCACTTAAAGTAATTCTTTTTGCTACACAGACCTTCATATGTTACCCAATGGCTGGCGGGAATCCAAGTGTTATGCTGAAGATGCACATTGGAACACACATTAGCTAGTTTTATTAAAAGCTAGTAACTTGGAAGACACAAGAATTGTCACAGCAGAGCAGTGGAATAGTAGGATGTTCCTTCCACAGATAGATAAGCTATATGGTTGGGGGAGGGCTCACTCATATCTGTGAAGTGCCTTAAGTTCCTTTATTTTTTTTTTTATCGAAGAGTGAGCTAAATATTGCCCTGTTCCATTTCAAATCTAGCATATGAATGAACTGGTAACTCCAAACCTGAATAGCAAGCTGGCCATTGATACTTTTGGAAAACAACTTTTCCCCTAGGAGCTGAGGTGTTTTATATTCCCAGTAACTTAGAATGACTTATTGCAGGTTATTACCTTTACACAGTTAGAGATGTAGCTCCCTTGTCTACCTTGTTTGCCATCCTGAAACAAGTTTTGCCATGTGTAGATGGCTTAATACAGGGGTTTTCAGCCAGGAGGTACCCCTGGGGGTACTTGGGAAGGCCTCTGGGTATTCGGCAGTGGGTGCTGCCACCATTTCTGCTGTCAGCATGCTCGCTGATTGCCCACTGGGGGCACACCCCCGACTTGTTTACTGGCCACCAGGTGACTCCTTCCTTCTTGACTGGCTGCCAGGGGTACACTGACCCCAAAAGGTTGAAAACCCCTGGTTTAATACATTTTTATTTCTCTCTTTTTTCATCATTTTGTGTGGGGGCCAAATAAAATATATAAATCCATACAGCCAAATCTTGGAGTCTAGCAGAATTCTGCAAGTAATTACCGTGGGGTGGGGTGGGGTGTCTCTGTCTCTTGTCCCACCCTGCTGTCTTCTGGCCATGCAGCAGTGGCGGCAGCCCCAGAGCTGCTGCTGTTGCAACCACTGCTGTGTGGTTGGAGCTGGAGCAATAGCAACCATGTGCTTGTGTGACTTGGGCAAAATTGGGGCTGGAGCGGGGGGTTGGGGACAACAGTTGCTGGCAGGGATAAGGTTTGGGGGGGCCACTTGGCTCCCTTGCCACTTGCCTCTCACTCTCTGTCCCCCTGCCATTGGGGGTGGGCATGAATGTAAGATGACCTACTTTCTAATAATTAGATTCTATACATGGAAAATTATAACGTTTATTTTCCAAGCATGGAATACAGTTATTGTAGGGTCTTCAGAGTCATCTTGCAGTCAGGTAAATATGATCCTTTTGCTAGGTCAGTTTTGCAATGCTGCACGATTTTGTAGTTTTTGTTTAAGAAAAAAAAAATTCTGGCATTAGTGATAGTAATGGATTACCCTAAAGGTCTTCTCTGCATTCTTTTTTGGGGCAGAAACCCCCCAAGACAATGATTGTAAAAACATGGACTGTCTTGCTGTTTGCAGAGGTATATAGAAAAGGCTGATGGTTGGACTGAGATGGAGAGTTTCTAGCCTGAGCTGATCCTATGGTAAGGAAAGCAGTGTTTCAAGAACAAACTTAGTTTTAATACTGCATAAAAACACTTAGAAATTGGTATTTTTGTGAACCTTTTGTGTAACATTTACAAAGCTTAAACAAGTAGGACTCCTTGGTTTATAAGGTGAATATGAAATTCTATTAATAACTATCTTTTGGGTGAGTAAACTGAGATGTAGAATGGCCATTGTCACATTGCAAATCAGGGACAAGGTTGGGAGTCCAAGCCCCAGGGTTAGATGTGTGATTCTCTGTCCTTGGCTTATGGTCTAACGGCTTTATGTTAAATGTTATGAATGGTTTGCAGTTGTTAGCGATAATCAGTTATATGTATCCTGGTAAACCAAAGCTGCTTCATTTTGACTGAAGAAAAAAGGCTTTGCCAGTTTAAGGGGCAGGAGGGGGTTGTGCTATCTTGCAGTACATGCTGCATTAAGTACATAGTTTTTCAGGTCCAACCTTTTTTAACAAGTATACCCCTTCTGTCTCAGAGTTTCAGCTTGTACTCCTTCATATTTTTTTGTTTTTCGGAGGGGGGAAGGGGGGCTGCAGATCTAGGGCCTGTGGTGAGGGAGGGAGTGGGGCAGGCAAGAGCTGCTCAGCCAGGGTGGGGGCGGGGCACGGGATGGAGATGTAAACAGCTCATCCAGGGGACATGGGGAGGGGGGCGTGGCTCCTGCCCCGGGAAGGCATGGGGGTGTGCGCGCTATGAGATCTGCATGGTGGGGGCAGATAAAGGCCCCAGCGATGTGGGTGGGGCACAGGAATGAAGGAATGAGACCTGCAGGGTGGGGAGGGGGCAGCTCTCTCACTACATGCTCCCATTGGCCCCTGCGGTGAGGGAGGGAGTAGGGCTGGAGCAGGGGCAGGCACTGCCCTGCCCAGCCAGATGTGACTGCTCTCCATATGGCCAGGCTGTGCTCCTGGCTGCCCGCGTGCTGCGCTACGGCTGCATGCGCATGCACGGAATTCTGTGTACTCCCTGTGACCCTTTTAAGTACCCCTACGGGTAGTGTACCCCAGGTTGACAACCACTGACTTAGATCACTGTCTTAATTCTGTTCTAGTTCTACTTTTTAGCTATTTTCCTAAGGAGAGCTTGATTCATATGGGTTGGTATATCGCAGTTAAGACATGTTGACTTCACTAATATGCTGTCCATTATGGTACTTGTGCTAACTGTCATGGTAGTTTACTAATCAGGGTACACTATAGCTATACCCCCTGTATTTAAGCAGTTATATAGTTCAGTTTATACTAGGAACATGCATTTTGTCCTTTGTTAGAAAATGGTGACTGATCTGTGTTTTACTGAATAAAATAACTAGACTCTTACTCATTTGTGTCATGGTGCATATAATTAATAAAAGTTGAAATAAATACATTGGTAGAGCTTCTTTAAATTATTTTATTAGCTAAATAAGACAACTAAGAGTTGTTAGTTTTTCCTTTGGCAGTTTAACAGCTACACTGAAAAATTCTGGATAAGGTTAAGCAGAAGGCAAAAGTGAAACTAAACGTAATCTAGGAAGAATCTTTCTTGTAGAACAGAAATTGAAAGCATCTAACATTTGGGAAGATGTAAATACTAGCATTCAGTCTGTTATGAGATTGAAAACAATACAAGGTCTTATCCGATGTGACTTGTGCCATGTTTTCATCATATGCTAAATGTTTTAAAATAAATTATATCAAATTCAGCTATAATATTTTATTGTAAACTTTAATCCTAAACTGACAGTGCTTTAAATTGGTCGTTATTTTAAAAGTTGAATTAACACCCTTTTTTGGGGGGGAAGACTGATTTTAATTAATGCTGGTTTTAAAGTTGTCATTTCCATTGAGTAGATGACACCTCCAGATTTAAGGCTGTAACTCGTTTCCAGCTTTCTTTTAACTTCAGCAGTAAAGGAAAGCTAAAATTCCTGGTAGTACAGCTTTCTCAGATAGTTTTAAAAAGCAGTTTTTGAGATGCAAAGCCTTAAGTAAGTACTTGCTTTTTAAAGATTTGTTAACTATCATGTGTTTGCCTTTCTGTCTCGGAAGAAATGGAATTGCAACACCACAGTTTAAAGAATAGGTGCATTTTGACACTTGAAACCGGATTTGGTGTGAAGATGGTACAGTGGTCGGGGGTTACCATTATTTTAAAATGAACTGGAGATTGAGTCCAGAATAGGAAGGGATAAAACAGCTGAAGTATGAAATATTTGTGTTGGGGCAAAGGTGACCTTTTATCTTTGTCAAAAATGTTTACACAGGGAAAAGTCATTTTTGCATGGAAAACTTTGTTCTGGGAGAGAATAGTTCCATTGTAAGACTTTACTTTTTTTCAGCACACCTGTAATTCAAACAGCTCCCCCAAACCTTGGATTTTTTTTGACTACAGAAAATTAATAGAGCAATTCTTCTGTTGCAAAGAACTCAGAAAGACCACAACAGGTCAAAATGCTTTTAACACTGTCGATGCCTATTGGAAATCTCTAGCTTTATTTTGTGAATCGTGTTAACATAGATAGCAGCACCCTAGTTGAGAATCACTGATCTTGAGATACTGAGTATGTCAATTCCAATCTTCCAGTAAGTTCATCTGCAAAATTAGAGATGCTTGAGGCCATAAATGTGGATGGGAAATAGGGCAGGGGTGGGCAAAGTACGGCCCGTGGGCCAGATCTGGCCCATGAGGCCATTCTATCTGGCTCGCGGGACCCCTAAAAAATTTAGAAAAGTAATATTAATCTGCTGTTGGTTCCTGTCAAAAATGGCAGGAACCAAGGGCAGTAGGACTCAGGGGAAGCCCAGCAGGCTCCCACAACAGCAGGGCCTGCCTGGCCTTGCCACCCACAGCTGGAAGCCTCATTAGGGGCTTCTGGCTGGAACCACATGGCTGCCCCATGCTAGAAGCTCAGGTAAGGGGTGGGGGAAGGGCAGAGAAGGAGCCCAGGGAAAAGTGGCCTGGGGAACAGCAGCCCCTTGCGTGCGCCATGGCTGGCGCTCCCTGCTGCAGCCGTTTGCAGCCCACGTAGGGCTGTCCGGAGCAGGCACAGGCAGCCTCATGCGGGCTACGAGTGGCTGCAGCATGCGGCACTGGCCATGGGGCGGGCTCCACCAGTGCTGGCCCTGGGACATTGGTCCCAAGATGGTGACCAGGGGGTGGGGCACCTGTCAAGGGGTGGGGCTACCCATGCGGCCCTCCACAGCCTGCCAAAACTGGGTTAGCGGCCCTCTGCCCAAAATAATTGCAGACCCTGGAATAGGGACTGATAGCATTGGGTTTGTTCCAGTATGAACACAAACCCAAGATTTTAAAGCAGTTGGAGTTAAAAAAAAAAAAAAAAAAAAAAAAAAAAAAAAAAAAGATGGTAGTGTGGGGAGGTACAAATCCTTACTTTCTCAGGCTGTCGGCTGTCATGCTTCTAAATGTTTGGATGCTGGCACTTGACATGTTGTCCAGTCATTGTGGCCCTCCAGCCTAGGTTAGGTTTGAATTTCTGTATAGTGAAGGAACCCTGGAAAACTAATAGTAGAAAACTTTCTGAATTAAAAGGTAACTGTTGCACAGACCCTTGAATGATCTGATTTGTTTCATCTGAGTATAAGCATAATCAGTTCTTTTGTTGTCAGAATATCACCCATCAGCTGGAAAGGTGGTAGTTACAATGGAGTGACTCAATCAGTATTCCCTCAAGCAGGCACAGGAAAAAAAATGGGACTGCATGGAAGTAAGTCAGTATTAGCAGTCGCTCCAGCTCTTTGAGGTGTATCTGATTCTTAGTCAGATTAGTATATGGGCTGGCTAGCAACCTGTCAAAATGGTGAGGGCTTGAATGCTTCAGATAAAATATCCTGCATAATAGAAATCTCTTTTGTTCCATTTTCAGGCCTTAGTAAATTTTGAGTCCATTCTTGTTTCATTTTGTATTTCTGTGTCTGTATCATTATATTCTACTAGCCAATTGCTTGTCAAAAATTATGGGGGGCAGCCTGAGACAGTGGCCTGCATCCAGGTCTGCTCCCCCACCTTTGGGGCCGGGCTCGCTCCCCTCTCCCCTCTGGCTGCTTCGGGGCCGGGGTTGGGCCGCTGCCCCTGTCCACTCTTGCTGCCATCTGCAATACTGGGGGGCAATGGCAAGCAGTACTGGCATTGCCCCTTCCTGCCCTCTCCCCTCCATTTTCGTGGCCTGAAGAGAGCAGGGGGAGCGCTGCTGGCCCTGCCTCCCCTCCGACCTCTCCATTGCTGCCGCCTGCAGGGTCGCTGGTGCCCATCCACTCGGTTGCCTGCCGGTGTGGAGGAGTGGGGATAGAGGCCCGGAGCCAGGATCACTCCCTCACCCCTGCCGTCTCAGGGCTGCTTCCCCCACCCCAACCTGGGGAGCTGGCGGGGACAGAGTCCAGCATCTGGCCCTGCACCCCAGCTCCGTCCCCGTGTCCCTACCGTCATGGTGGCACGCCACCACCTACTGGCTGAACGCTGCATTTGCACTCTGATTGGTTGTTTCTGTCTGCCAATGAGTGTGTGAATAAAGCATTATGGATAGACAGACGGACTATGGCTTTTGTAAGATTAGAATTCCTGTCAGGGCAGTTGCAGTGTCCAGGCAGCTAAGCATGCCATTCTCTAATGCATAATCTTCTAAACAGAGTAATAATTATTTCTTATCCCATTATTAAATTTAAGCTGCATGCAATAACTTTATAGCAGTTTCTCTTATAGTCCAGGCCTATTGCAGTGGGCTTAACAAACAGCTCTTTTCCTAATGTGCATGGTAGACCTATGAAACTGGCTGCCCATATAAACTACTGTCACAGCTCCGTAACAGTGTTAGCCTTATGGCTGTAGCACAGTGGTTCCCAAGCTCTGACAGGTTGTGCACCACCAATTTAAAATGATACAACCTTAAGTACCACCAGGTGGTATGTGAGGGGGTGTGGGTGTATGGTAGGGATTGTGAGGAGCTGTGGCTGTGTGGGAGAGAGCATAGGGTATGTTGGGGTCTTGTGTATATGCGGTGGCAGGGTGTGGGTTTGTCAGTTGTGAGGGGTGTGGGGACCCCCCCATTCCCTCACATGGTGCAGCAGCAGGTGGGGGTGCTCAGGGTACCCAGTGGGGTGCAGCTCCAGCCAATGAGGGGTGCGTCCTCCACCAGGCAGTCTGTATCACTGGCACTCCCCATGTTTGCTGGGGCCGGCTGCTTTTCATGCCCTCCATGAGAAGGTGCCTGGGGCTTCCCACCTTTGCCTGGTGAATGCGACAGCTGCGTATGTGCACAGGGAGTGCTGGCAATAGATGGCCTGGCAGAGGCTGCACCCCTTGTTGCGATGTGTAATGCTGGCTGAAGCTGTGCCTGTTAGACGCTTGCCCTGAGCACTCCTGCATGCTGCGGCCTCATACCACTGATAGGTGGTCTGTGTACCTCTGGTGGTACACATACCACAGACTGCTGTAGCATAAAGCACTGGAAGGAATAAAGTTCTGAGATTAGCAGCCATAAAGGTGACTGATAGCTGTCAGTAGTATTCTTGATAATGAGTAGGAGCAGTCAGTTTCATCACTGCTATAAAATGAATGATTGAGTCTGCCAGTGTTGTGAGGCACTTGTCCTGTGATGAGGTGTAAGGAGGTGTGAACATCTGAGCAAATATTGTCTGCATGATCTTGCTGGTACACTTAATATGGCCTAAGTGGTACCTTCCATATTGAGGCTAGTGGGAGCTAGTACAAGTGCTTGTATGATTTAAATGGCTACTTGACTGTTAGCATGGGTGTCTTAAGTGGCTTTGATTGTCACCTAATACACCGTCTTTCCTATTACAGATTCAGAAACTCTGTGACAGAGTAGCTTCTTCTACTTTACTGGATGATCGAAGGGATGCTGTTCGTGCCCTTAAATCATTATCAAAGGTATGTGCATAACTTCTAGAGGTGCACCGATACATCGGTCTGATACCAGATCAGCACCAACGTAAACAAAATTTTCTGCATCAGAAATTGGCCTGATGCAGCTGATAACTTGTCTGATAAATGCCCGTGTGTGCGCATGCAGCCATAGCACAGCACATAGGCAGTGAGGAACAGAGCCTGCAGCGCGTAAGTCTGATGTGGTGGAAGGGGAGGTGGAAGGAGCATGGGGGTGCAGATCAAGGACCCCGCGGCGAGGGGGTGTGTGGGGCTGGGGCAAGGACTGCCTAGCCGGGGCAGGTGTGGGACGGAGGTGTGGCTCATTGGGGTGTGGGAAGGATGGGGGGCGGACTCCCGCTGCTCGTCTGGGAGGGCATGGGGCAGGGGCATGTGCCCTCAGATCTGGGATGGGTGGGCTGGGGCCAGGCTTTTCCTGGCTGGGCAGATCTGGGGACACATGCTCCCCCTCCATGCTGTCCTGCATGAGTGGCGGGAACTGCCAGACAAGCACCAGATGAGCCATGCACAGCAGCAGGAGCATCCCTTTCCGCAGCCTCCCGACAAACTGTCCCTTGGACCCGGCCCGCAGCTGCAGTCTGCCCTGCGCCACACAGATCCAGGAGGCACACGCCACAGCCCCCCCGGATGAGCTGCTTGCAGCTCTGTCCTGTGCCCCTCCCCACCCTGCCCCAGCTGGTCAGTGCCTGCCCCAGTCCCATTCCCTTCCTCACTGCAGGGGCCTTGATCTGCCCCCCCCCCCCCCTTGTCCCTCCGCCACCTCCCCCTCCCCCACACAACCCTTTCCTCCCCTTCCACCACACCAGACCTACCAGCTGGACGCAGCTTTTCAAGCTGAAGAGCTGCATATCAGAAATCGGATCGGTATTGGCCAATTTGCGCTTCTTAAAAATCAGCTATCGAGTGTCGGCCTCAAAAATCTCTATTGGTGCGCCCCTAATAATTTCCTATAGTCCTGTACAGTATACAGTGTTCTCTGTGGCACTGTGTTTTCTGTGGCACGTTTGTTTAGAAAGTGGTATCTTAGTTTGTTGGGCTAACCTCCTTACTTCATTTTTAATTATTTTCTGGGCAGAAATATCGCCTGGAAGTGGGGAGCCAGGCTATGGATCATCTTATCCAAGTTCTCCAGACAGACCGGTAAGCATATTCTAACCTGTAAGAATGAACTCAGTGGCTATTTTCCTCAAACTACTTCCTCTTCTTTCACCTCTCCCTGCTGTGAAGAGTATTTAAAAAAAAAATAAATAAAATTCCAGGTCTGTAGCTGACTAGAATCCTAAAGTTATCAGTAAGAACAAAAATGCTACACGGGGGAGGGTCAGTTAAAATAGTCCTAAAGTAATGGCAACACAGGGAGGGGGAGGAGGAAGGTATATGAAATGAGTTGCATTCGACTCCTAAATGCTATTCATGACACTAATAGACAAAATGATAGTGCTTAAAAAAAAAACCTACTGGGACAAAATACTAGTTTATGGATTGACTTTAAAGTTGAAATTAATCTGACAATATTAGATAGATTGGTAAAAATATTTCTATTGCATTTAACAGTGTAAATATAAACATTGAATGGCTTGAGTAATCTAACAACTGTGTTATGCTTATGTTGAAATGGTTGCCATTAAGGCAAAAATCATTCACTTAGATTGGAAAGAAAAAGCTTCAAATAAAAGAAGAAATTCCGTTTCCCCAGCTGCCTCTTCAGTTGATTGTTTTTTGCATCTTGACCACCTTGTGGGTAATACTTTCTTCTTTCCAGGTTCTGGGATGTATTTGGTAGCCATGTTGGTCTGAGACAAAAACAAATGTAAAACTCTAGAACTCTTGGTTCAGAGTTGATACCTTTTATTAGACCAAGTAAGAAATTGCAAAATTATCTTTTTCTGCAAGCTTTTGGGCACACGCACCCTTTCTCAGGCTCAGGGAAAATTAAAGATGGTAAAAAGTCCCCATAGGTAGAAAATAAACTTCATTTATTACCCTCTTTGCAGAGTCATGTACTTATCTGGCTATGTGCACATATTACTTTTATATATTTGCAATGATGGAGTTGGGGGTGGATCTGCCACAAAGGTGTTCCTGTGTCAGACAAGATCTGTGTAGGGCTGCCTTTTGAAGTGCCACGGGTAACATGTTGACACTTAAATGTAGTGCTACAAGGAGGTCTCTCAAACCTTCAGCATTTTGCAGTGCTTCCCTCTCCCCTCTGAGGAGGACGGAGAGAGTGACTGGTTCCCTAATAGTTTGTAGAGCTGCAGCTGTCAGAGCCACTACTACCCTGCTTTTCTGAGGAATCAGCAACAGCTGATTGAAAGAAGCAGACTTTGATCAGCTGTTGTGGCTGCAGCTTTGAGATGGGCTGATCAGCTGTTGCCATGACAGCAACAGGTGATCTGCTGAGCTTGTCAGGCTCACTAATAGGCTCCCCTGGGGACTGGGAGGGGAGAAAAGGAGCAATGTACTATTGGCCATTGGCTGGTGTGTGCGCCTTTTTGGGGCTTTGTAGTGTTTCAGCGAGGGGGCTCTGAATGTGCGCACACTCCAGTAGTGCACTATTTTTTGTAGTGCTCCAAAGTGCTGAGGCAGTATGTAGTGCTACAAATGAACATGTGCACATAGCCTCTGATGTCAGTGTAGTGTGCTTTTCTTCTACTTAGGGTGAGGCGAGGGGTTATAGTACATTCTCTCACACGACTGGGAGCTGAAGTGATTGCAGGGTTATTCACCTTGGATTCCTGAGTGAAGCAAAGGAGCAGTGGTGGAAAGCATCTTCTCAAAGTAGGACCAAGAAAAATAGGGCATAGTATGAATGGGGCCAGGCCAGTGTCCTGAATGAGGTGTTCTGAATCAAAGTGGAGACAGGCAGCTGCTGAATACCCAAAGGTGACTTTGCTTCATGGCTTAAGTTTTCAGAAGTTGAAGTGATGAAGTGATTCTGATTTCTGAAGGATGACAACTTGTCATGCCCCATCTATTTGCTATAGTGTTGGACTTTTGCTTTTATAGTAACCTCTACCTCTGTTATTTACCCCAAGAAGGACCAGCATGAGACCACAGTAATATTTGTGGGGCAGGTCTGTTTCTTGCCTTGGGTAGAGTGAAGGAGGAAAGTAATTTGCTGGTTTTCTTAAAGTCTTGGATCAGTGCTTTAAAGATTGGCTAGCCCTTGGAAGGGAATTCAAAAGAGGCAATGAAGCTGGTTTGGAAAAAATTAGGGATACCCTGGGCTGGAGAAGAAAGGGTGCAGGTTTACAAAGTAAATGTCTAGACATAGACCTGGGAATTGGAGACTAGTAGCAATTAAAAATGCATGTAGCTTGAATTCTTACTTAAATGAATAATCTCTTTCCTAGAATTATTTTAATGAACTAGCACATGAGAGCCTTCTTGTGCTGCTGTAGTGCCATATCTCTTGGAATTGGAATTCATAAGCAACTGCAGAAGAGTAACATTTTATTACTTATTAGTAACTTGCAGTATGTACAAGAATATTTAACAAAAATATATTCCTTAACACCAGATGGACATAAATCAACATGCAGCCAAAGAAAAAAAGCAATAGGTTGCTTCAGCCTTTTCCTAAACCCATTAGAGTGGGTACCTAATTGTCTTGTGACTAAGGGAGAAATAAAATCACAAGACTTTATTTGGATGTTTTGTAGTTCCTGCAGTAGTGAAAGAAATCATCTGAAATTGACTCAGTGTTGTATGTTAATCATCTTTTATCTGTTGTTCACATCTGGAATTGTATTGTCATCTTGGGTGAAAAATTAAATTGCAGAATTTTTAGTATAATACTGTTTTTGATTCTGCCATGATTAAGAGAATGAAGGTAGCAACAATGTGCAGTACAAAATCTATATAATTCAGATGATTAGAAATGTGCTTAATTGGTCAAGCACATCAACAATATTTCAATTGTTGCTTCACCTTTAGGTTAGTCTGACTCTGGGAAAACAACCTTTTATTTAGCATTGAACTAGCCGCATACCTATAGGCTGGGGAACTCCCTTTTCATAAGCACAGTGACAGAAAGGGATCTTGGAGTCATTATCGATTCCAAAATGAACATGAGCCGCCAGTGCGAGGACACAGTCAGCAAGGCCAACCACACCTTGCCATGCATCCACAGACGCATCACGAGCAAGGGCAAGGAGGTGATCCTCCCCCTCTATGCGACATTGATCAGGCCGCAGTTGGAGTACTGCGTCCAGTTCTGGGCACCGCACTTCAGGAGGGATGTGGACAGCATTGAGAGGGTCCAGAGGAGGGTCACTTGTATGATCTGGGTACAGCAGGGCAGACCTTATGAGAAGAGGCTAAGGGACCTGAACCTGTTCAGCCTTTACAAGAGAAGGCTGAGAGGGGACCTGGTGGCCATCGATAAACTTACCAGGGGGACCAGCGGGGAATGGGAGAAACCCTGTTCTCCTGAGCACCTCCCGGAGTAACAAGGAATAACGGCCATAAGTTGTAGGTTCAGGCTGGACGTTAGAAGGCACTGCTTCACAGTCAGGGCGGCTAGGATCTGGAACCAACTTCCAAGGGAAATGGTGCTGGCTCCTACCTTGCGGGTCTTTAAGAGGAGGCTTGATAATTACCAAACTGAGGTCATATGAGCCCAGTATTCACTCCTGCCCAGGGAAGGGGGTCGGACTTGATGATTTAGTTAGGTCCCTTCCGACCCTACAGCTATGAAACATTGCAAGTATTTCTGAAGTGTGTGATATTGTTTGCAAGAAGTCAGATTTGCATGCAATGTGAATCTGACAGTTCTGGGAGAATTGTCATTCAGGAATCTAAAACAAAAAAGTAAATTTAACTGGAACTAGCTGTGGAGTCTGTTAGCTTTCATTGATACTCCATTTAGTATGTAAGTTCTTGGATGGAATTTACAGGAGGCTAATTTTAATGTACCACTTGGCTTCCTGCACTGTCAAATCAGTTTGTCAGTTTTATATGTTCCTTTCCATAGTGGTACTGGGCATAGACATGGCTTGATTTGACTTCAGTCCATGTGAAGATGATGATGCATCTTTTTAGGCAGCTCAGAATTTCCGTGCAACCATGACAGTGCAGAGTTAATCATGTAGTTGACTCAGTTCAGACAGATGAGTCTGATTTTCTTTTTGGATTAGGATTGTAGATTAGTTGGCTCTTAAAACATCTGTTATGAACCAACTGCTACTTATTGTCCTTTTATGTGGGTGTTTGTCTCTTATGTTGGCATGCCCTTGGATGCAGACTGAATTGGAAAGGTTGCAGAGAGCTGAGGAATCTTGTTTTGACAGATTGCTTTCTTGATGGTTTAGTAAGAAGTCACTCCACTCTTTTCTTCTCCACTGCTGATGAAGGCAGAAGCTGTTCCTAGGCGCACCCTTTTTACCAGTCTGCTTCCCATGTTGTTACTCTGGTTTGGGGATGACTTGCCAAAAAGCAGTAACTAAGGATAGGTAGAGTGCCATTGTAAGAGGTCTTGTGCCAAGGCTTATTTGCTTCTGGCATAAGGACCATTAGAAGTCTAAAGCTGTTTAAGGGGTAGCATCTTCATAATCTTTAGATAACAGATGTGTTTTTTTGGTGGTGGTCTGGCAATCTGGACTCAGTAGTTGATCTGGAAATTGCTTAGTGTTCTGTGGACTGGATTGGTCAGAGTAGGAATGGGTTTTCTCTTTCCATTATTTTATATATATAGGGCTTAGTTCATCTGCCTGTCTGTCCATAATGTTCTTTAAATGCAAATAGCTTGAAAACTGAGAGAGAGAACATTTGTCTTCAGAGAGATTTCTTTGCTAAACCTTAGCATTTGTTTAGTGACCGTGTCAGGATGATCCCAACTTCCAGAACTGGGGAAAAAAGTCAGGGGCCAGGGATGTTTCTACTGAGCTCTTCTGGGAGGGTGCCAGGAGCCTGGCAGGGAGGGCAGAGGGAGGGGCCAGCTGAGGAAAAGCGGGAGCCAGGCAGAGGCGTGAGGCGGGGGCAAGCAGCGGTGGCCTCGTTCTGAGCCCCGAGCAGGTAAGGATGCGCCTGGGGGTGGAATGAAGGAAGCCCCGGGGGTGCGGGTGGCTGTTGTGAGGGGTGAATCTCGCTTGCCCTTGCCCTCTGTTTGTTTTTGTTATTTGAAATTCATCCATCATTTTCGACAGGCAATTTGCTAGTGTCAGAATAAGATCTTTAGAGAGCAGGGGTCTGGTCTGTTTGCTGACATTTCAGTTAGTGATGCCTGCTGAGGGTCTGGTTTGGGCACCATTTGGTTCTCTCTGGTAGAACGTCTTGTGTGTGGATGAGGTTGCTTATTGGCAGCTTTATTCATTCTCCCTGAAATCTCAGAGTAGCTGTGAACAGTTGCTTCTCCCGAAGAGCTCTGACATGTGGATACCATTCCATTGCCATTCCATTCTTGTTGAAATGGATACGGGAATTTTAAGAGAGTTCATGAATTAGTACAGTGATGTGGTCTCCCAGTATGTTGATGGCACCCAACTTTGCATTTGTGTACTCCCACCTGGGTGCATTTTGCTGCCTCAGCCAGTGTCTGCTGGGTATTAGGGTATGGAGGAGAGCACACTGATTGTGTGTGATACATACACACTGATACATAACCCAGACAATATCAAAGCAGTGGGTTGGAGGAGCAATGAAAGGGGAGATTCCAGGTTTTCTTCATTTTTGTTTGTTTTTTGTAGGGGTGCACTGATAAAGATTTTTTGGGCCGATAATAATCAGCCATTGGTAACGAGCCATATTGGCTGACACTGATCCAATTGCCAATATGTAGCCTGGCGGCTTGGAGAGCAGCATTGACTTGTAAGTCTGTTGGCGGGGTGGGGAGAGGAATGTGGGGGGCAGATTGAGGCCCACGTGGTGAAGGAAGGAGTGGGGCTGAGGCAGGGGCAGGTGTTGCCCAGCTGGGGTGGGGCATGGAATGGAGCTGTGAGTGGATGGTCTTGAGGGGTGTGGGGGGAAGGGGCAGCTCCTGCTGCTGTACGCACCCCCGAGGGAGGCAGGGGGGGCATGTACCCTTTGGATCTGTGCACGGGGCAAGGGTGGGCTGCCTGCTGCAGGCTGGGGCCAGGGACAGTGCTGGTCTCTTCTCAGTGGTGAGCCTGAGCTGGTGCTGCACTCAAGGCAGGCAGTGGCACACTGGGAGGAGGGGCTTGGAGGGGCTACGGTGAATTCTGGGGTGACTAGCCCTCTTCCCCCACCCCGTAGCCCTGCTCTCAGTGCTGCCGCTGCCTGCCCCAAGCACAGCACTAGTCCAGCTCCCCTGCCTGGAAGAGTCTGGTGCATACTCTGGCTGCAGTCCGCCCTTGCCCTGCGCACAGATTTGGGGAACATGTGCCCCCCCTGTGCCTCCCCTGGTGGTGTGTGCTGCAGTGGGAGCCCCCCCTCCAACTCCCTCCCTGGATGAGCTGCTCACTGCTCTGGCCCACACCCCATCCTGGCCAGGCAGCCCCAGCTCCACTCCCTCCCTCACCATGGGAGCCTCAATCTGTCCCCCCACACACCTCTTCACTCCCCTCTGTTCCTTCCCTTCAACAGGCTTACCATCTAGACACTGCTTTCCAAGCTGCCAGGCTGGCCGTGTGCATGCTGTGGCTGTGCACATACGTGCAGCTTTTACTGGCAACATTGGACACATCGGCCAAAAAAGTCCGATTACCGATAATATCAATTTTCCTTTTATCTGTGCTGATACTATATAGAAAAATATATCGGTGCATCTCTAGTTTTTTGATGAAGTACATTGACCACTAGTTGCTTGGGTGATGTGTTATATAGGGAGCTACATCCTAAAATCATTTCAGGACTGCAGCTGGTACAGAATGCATGGTCTGGCTCATTGAGAAGGGCATCTTGCTGGGAGCATGTGACACCAGCATATGGGGATCTACACTGACTGTCCCTTGGTCTCTGGAGGGAATTCAAGGTAATGCTATGAATTAGAAAGCCCTAAATGGCCTGAAACCAGTCTTCCTGAGGAAATTTTTTTACCATTACTGTTGGAGCTTCTGCAACCTTGGAAAGTAGTCTGTTTTTAAAACCTAAATAAATAAATTCTTGTTTATGTCATGAAGTACAAAATTATAAATCTTGGGATTTTAAATGTCCTGCATTCTCTTTGAAATACTTTGATTTCTTAAGTAATGTTTTTATTAATTCATATGCTGATGGCAGTTTATTTAAAGAGACATGACTCAAGATCAGTATACCTGCATCAAAGATCTAGCCAGTATCATTACCACAGTGAACATGAAAAGAGCCAAATAAATTATGCTTTGAAGTGATCAATTTGACCTTAACATACAGTTATTGGAAAAATTCTGGGTAGCTGAAATGAGCCATGAAAAAAAAGACATCTGGAAGTATCCTTGAGCATTTTGGTATGGACTTTTAGCTTCATTTTGGGGAACAAAAGTAGGCAAAATATTTTGACTTATTTGGTAACTGGATATTTTCAGATTTTTTTTATTACATCATGAAAAACAAAACCATTCATTACATCTGACCTTTTAACATATGACATTTGTCACTGCAAATGTGGTTCTAAGGAATGTAAGGAAAAAACCATAACTAAGTTACTAAAGTGGTACTTTTATTTACAGTTCAGATTCAGAAATAATTGGCTATGCTTTGGACACCCTCTACAACGTAATATCAAATGACCTAGAAGAGGAAGAACAAGGTAAGCTTGCTGGAGCAACTTTTCTGCATTTACTTGATGATAATAGTTATGTTAATGCATGGTATCTTGAGTATAACTGACATTAAAGTAATATTAGCTCCTTCAATCCATTTCTTGAAGTACTTGTGAACAATTTTTTAGGTTAAAAAGAGGTCTTTTTTTACTGAAATAAAATCTTCAAGGAAAAGTTCTGACAGTCAAAAAGCTGACCTTGTAGATTAATCGCTATATGCTATTTATGGCAAACTGTAAGAACATGTCCTTTATTTCACGGTAGCCTTTTTGATCACTTAACCAGTAACTATTGCTTAAGACATTGGCCCCTTAAACAAACAAACAAAAAAAATAAAGGTTGCTTTGCAAGTATGAAAATACTGTTTGTCACCAGTGCTATAGTCTTCACTTAAAAAACAAAACAAAACAAAACAAAAAACAAAACAAAAAAACCTCTCCCTTTTTGCCCCATTTGCTTTCATAATTGACTAAATATTTTAATAAATTTGGTTATGAAACGAGATTTTTAAGCTGCTCAGTTTTTCTCACAATTTATATGACAAGAATTGGAACAAATGGTTGGTAATAAGAGGATTAGGCATCATGATGAGGGTTCCCAGTTGTTAAATTCATGCATGTCAAGTGATATTCTCACATGGGGCTTTTGGGCAATCATGGGCCTTTGAAGACTTTTTCTTCATGTGTAGCTAAAATGGGCAATATTTAAAATATGAATTTAAAGCAGATAGTTCTAAAAATGATCCTTTACTTGCTTACCATAAACATTAAAGGTGTAAAGAGAACCTGCTGTGAATTATTATAAGCGATTTTGGTGGTAATGGACACTCTGCATTAAATACTATGTACTGGAAACTTGGGTTTTTACAATTATCCAGTAATAGGCTAGGTAAGACTCATTGCTCAAGATGTGTACAACAGCTATTCAGTCAAGTGAGATTTGTTTTGTTTTCACTTATTAGGCAAAGACATGGAGAGAAAAGGTTAAAGTAAGGGCCCTCAAGTGAAATAGAATTAAGATATTAGAGGGGAGTAGAGAGGGCAGATCTATCTGATGGTCATACAAATAATGCCTTGGAAGAAGAATTTAGGAAAATGAGAAACTTAAGTATAAAGGCGTTTTCCAAATAAACATAATATATTTAAATATCCATGTGTTCTTAATCTCACCATACCAGTCCTGCCAACTTTACAGGTAACTTAACAGCACTTAGACCTTGCTTTTTAGTCTTTTACTGTTGATACCACTGATTCTATCCTGCCACGGATTTTGTGTTTTGAAAAGCTGGTTAATGTTGCCATTTCCATTTGGATGCATTAGATGTGGATAAATTCCTTGCTCAAAGATGGCTTGTTTACTTTTCATTCCATCCAGGAAGAGCACACCAACTGCTGCAGCTTCCTGAGCCTGACGAAGGGTTGTTGAACCCGATAGCTTGCTTAATAACTATTCTCCAACCATTTGGGTTGGTCTAATAAAAGATATCAAATTCACCCAAGGAACCTTGTCTGCCTATGTCCTTAGACCAACACGGCTACAACCTAAACCCTTGCTCAAAGATGTATATTCAGAAAAGTTGCTTAAATGGCTAATGCGTAATACAAGTCTTGATGGAAAGTAGCTGTTGGTTGACTAGCATCTATAGCGTGATATACTGTCGAGATACTGGCAGAAATGTAAATGAAATCTGCATCACTTCTCCTAAAAATCATTATCCCATATTGTAGGTTGCTGAACAGGAGAGAGTTGCTGGCTGAAACGCTGAACGTGCATTATGAATCTTTTGACCAATCCTTCCTTTCTATCCTTGTTCTCACCAAAATGTAAAGTTGGGCTGTCCAGCTTCTAAGTGGCCAGGAGTTACGTACTCTGTGGGCTAAATGCAGGGGTGGGGGGACATACCCCTTCTCTCTCTGCCCCAACATTCCTCTCCTGGGTAAGGGCAGGAGAGGTGGAAGCTGAGGAAGGATGGGGAGCCCAGAGACCCTGGCTTGAGCAGCAGCTAGGTGAGAGCCTGTGGGCTGCAAATTAATGCCTTGTGGGCCACATGCAGGCTGCCAGTTTAACAGCCTTCATGTTGTAGTCTTTCTTCAGAGCCACCTTTATGGATGATAGTAGGCATACATGTTAAATACTGATGTTGAGACTTAGCCCATGGTTTTGCTAGAGCAAGTAGGGGACTATTTTATCAAGACCACTGCCCAAAGGAGGATGTTTGAGTGCAAGAATGTTAGTTGGAAAAGACTGTTAGGGATTTAGTGAGTGTGTACATCTGATGAGAAGCATCAAAGTTGAAGACCGTTGACTCAAGTAATGAAAGAATAGTTGTGGGAGAATTTGAACATGGCTGCCTCTTGAAATCTAGGCCTTAACTTTATTACTAGCTGTGCTGTTGTACACTGCTATGTGGAAAACTGATTTATTTGTGAACCTTTCTCTTCTTTCTTTCTCTCTCTCCTTTTTTTTTGGCTATCTTTGCAGATGATTCTGAAGGTAAAAATCCTGAATTTGTTTGCATGGAGCTCATTTAGTCATAGTTGCTAATTGTAAATTACTACCTACTGTATCTCTTGGCTGTTAAAAAGGACACTGTCAAGGTTTCTATATTACTTTACTGAAGATTTTTCATAATCTCTTCTTTATATTTAAAATTCAGTTTCCCAAATTTGTTTTATTACTTGAAATGCATATTTCTCCATTACATACATATTGGTCAGGTTGTGGGTATGTGAGACAGCCTGTGGATGCTTAGAAAGCTTACTGGCACTCTTATACCTTAAGTTAGGGGTTGTCAACTGGGGGTGTGTGTACCCCCCCGGGTACTTGAGAAGGCCCTAGGGGGTATGCACGGGCAGGGGTGCCGTGCAGGCGCTGCCCACCCAGTCAGACTTGGGGGATGGGGGAAGCCTGCACATGGCAGCTGCCGCTGTTCTGCATTCGGCCGCACGCACCCCTCCGCCCCACAGTCAGTGTCCAGCCGCCAGGGGTACACTGATCCAAAAAGGTTGAAAACCCCTGCCTTAAATAATTCTCGGTTAATTGCTCTGTGATATGGTAGTGTTGAGCAGCAGTATCCAAATAAACAAGTGGACATGCACAGAGTTGCATTGTGGAAAAGCATCAAAGTAATTAATAACTTTTTGAGTACAGAAGTCATAGTCATGCTTCAAGCCTTCTGGCTTTTTGCAGTGTCCTTTTTCAGTAATGCATGTTAAGAATATGGCCTTATTGATATACAAGGTGTAATAGGGCAGTTCCACCCTAAGGGGCAAACTAACTTAGACTAACTGGTGGATTGATCAGCTTTATTGATTATTGAAACATCTAAAGCTAACATTTGTAAACAGGAATTCCTTTAATTCCTTACTTGCATGCAGTTTAAAACTTCACTAAACAGGCTATAGCACCTATAACAACATAATTTGGTAGTATGTGAACTCCCAAGATATCCTTCATTGTATTTTCTGCTGTTTCCTCTTAAGCTTTTTATTTCCATTTTACCTTTTCTGTTTGATTTTTATTTTTTGTATTTTTTTTCTACCATGAACTACCATATGGTATTTTTGTTAGCTTGTATTTTATTTGGCCTTTTATATATAATAGTTCAGGACATAGTAAATAGGAACCAAGCTTAAACAGTAAGTAGAACTCTTGGCACATTGATAAAAGCAATTGCATGTATTCAGCACGGACTTCAGCATTAAAACTCTAGAGTTTTGGTGGAAGACCAAGTGCCATGTGACAGGGAGGAGCCACAGGGTACATGGGCTCTGGGTCTGTGGCCTGTGGAAATTGCCCACCTCTGTACTACATCATTGGTGTACAACCTTTTCATCTTGTGGGTCAGATGAGCAGTGCCAGGTCCTTCCGCAGGCTGGATCTGGTTGTGGGGATTTACACAGCTTGACCTCTGTCTGTCCGTCTGGGGTGGAGGGGTATGATGGAGTGGCCCCAATCTGGATGCATGGGGAATGGGATGGAGTGGCCCTGATCTGGATGCAAGCTTCTGTTCCTGGTCTGGATGTGTGGGGCGTGGATAGGGTATGGCAGGGCAGGGTAGCCCTGATTCTTGCCATGGGGGTGGGGGGTGAGATATAGATCAGCCCTGATCTAGACACATTGGGAGTTGAGCAGCCTGGCCCTGATCCAGATGTGTTGGGGGTGAGGGGTGGGGCGAAATTAGATGGGGTGGTCTTGACCTGGATTTGGGGGTGCATGGGGGAGCATCCTGGCCTGATCTGGAAATGCATGGTGGGGCCTGGTTCTGATCTCCCTTTGCTGCACTGGCCTTGGTGAGCTTGGCCTCGGTTGTGTGGAGCTTTCGCAACCCTTTTTACACTCGCTTACCACAGAGTCTTGCATCTCACTGCTCTGCTAAGTGGCCTCTATATGTCCCTTTATAGCTATGTCCGTTCTGCTGGTTGTTATCAAGAAAGCGTTAATGACACTGTCCTTCCACTCATGCTCATAAAGTACAGAACATAAACTTTGTCCCCACTGGGTTCAAAAAGTACCAAAGAAACAAACTACTCAGCTTACTGCTGCTGTGATCCCTGCATCTTTGGTTCTGTTCCCCATGTGCCCTGGGACCTTACTGATCTGCTGCTGGGTTGTCTACCCTATACCTCCCAAGGGTCTATCATGGTTCTGCTGATGTGCCTTTCTTCTCTCCTCCTGGTGCTCTGGGACCAGCTTTTATGTCTTGAGGCCCTTCCCTTCTGCTGGTCACCTGACCCTGTCCAGTCAGGCCATCAGAGGATTTCCTTTTTACAGCCTTGCAATCTCTGGGTGGGGTGAGTTTGCAGCTTGATGCCAGTTGTATTTCTTCACCCCTCTGGCCTGGAAGATCCTAGCCTTGCAGCTCTGTCCTTTTAGTCTCCAGTAACAGGGGCGAAATCTCCTGTTATACGCAGTCCAATCCATGAACCATTCAGTGGCTTCCAGATTTTATTTTGGGAACCACTGAACTAGAGCATTCAGTCTCATACAGTAGCTATGTTCTGCATGTATCATTGTGGAAACATATGGAGTGCGGGCTTGTTTTCTTAAGGAGAGCCCTGGCTCTGAGATCATGTGGAAGCAGAGGAACAGTTGGAGAGAGAGAGTGGCATGGGAGAAGAGCACAAGAAACTGAGTGAAATTCTGGTGTGGGAGGAAAAATGGACTTTTTGCTGGACTTGGCAAGAAAGGCGGGGGTGCAGGAATTGGAGGAATGAAGTTAGAGCACATGACTCCATGGACAGACTCCCTGTCTTTCCACTGTGCAGGATGCTCCAATGTGTGTCCTACATCCCCACTGACACCCCCAAATGTGGTCTCTGTGGTTCCACCACATTATGTTGTGTGATATATATTGACGGTGAAAAGTAAAATGTAATGGGGCATAGTGGGTAGATATAGAAGAAAATGGGGAAGAAGGAACTGTATGGTGGAAAACTTGATGGTATGAAGAACAAGGTTCTGTGGAGGGAAGACAGTGTAGCTGTGGGGAAAAGTATGCAGGAAGGAGACACGGAGCCACTTGAGGCCTGTAGTAGTAGAGTGGTTAGAAGCCAAGCATGGCGGGACTTCTGGTTTTGCCTTTGTGCTTCAACTGACCTCTGGGGGATTTCTGCCGCCGCCCCCCCGGTCTACTGATGGGACCAGAATTTTTTGACTGTATGTAGGTGGGACATGAGATGCAAAAGGTTGAGAACCTTTGGCATAGTGGATGGTGTGCTGTTTGTGGACCAGGAAAGTAGTGTGCGATAAAGGTGTTTGGCATGGATTGTCTTCTCAGTAGCATGCTGAGAACTTGCCAAGTCAAAGATTTTTGCCTAAACTGTCATGAATACAAATGTCTTCAAATACCTATTTTTTCTATACTGTAGTGTAAAGCTGATGAATGTAGTTCTTTTTATTTCTGAACTTCCCCAATGTGCTTAGGTATGCCCAAACTTTAAGAGGGTTAGCTCATGCATGTTCACCTCTTCTGTATCTAATGGAACTAGTGAGGAAGCTTTATTCTCAGATTGATTTTTATGAGAGAGTAACCCCTCCTACCTAATGGATGGAGACGCACACTGCCTGTTTTGTGACCTCAGTGAAACATGCATCAGGGATGAATTTCTGTGGCTATTGAACTGCATTGGATTTGAGCCAGTGACCTGCCAGTGACAAGTTTATCTCATGAATGATAGTGCAATTAACTAAATCAGGTTCTCTCTATCTCCTTGAATACGAGTGACTATATCTATATCACAGCAGGACTGTGCTCTAGATGAGATGCATGCAAGTGCACCTCATGCACCCATTCCTGTTGATAAGCTTCAAATCTGAAAATAATATGGAGAAGGTTACTCTGGCTTTTCTCAGGAATGCCGCAGACAGATCCTAAGAGTGACTATAGAGTGGCCTCACAGGCATATTTTATTTTGTGCATGTAAGGTGCAGTGGTCAGGTGTGGCGTGGTTGGAGGATATCCTTGGCAGACCACATTGGGGTAACAAAGGACATGGCTGTGGTGGCAAACTGCATGTCGGCCTATAGACTGACATCCCTTGGCAAATTCCTCCAGTGAACATTCCTTAATTATCCAGTAATATCTAACCCTAAGTATTTGATGTAATGACTACCTTTTTGGGTTGTCCAATATAAGCAAATATGCATGATGCAAAAAATAGTGTTGATGTTTTCTTTTAGACTGTTGGAATACTTTTTCTTCAATCATTAATATTTTTCTAGTCTATGCATCATGTACATTCCAAATAAGAGGTAGCTCCTTGTGCATCTTGAGTAAGTTTTTTGAAGGCTGGGTAACAGGATGAAAGTGAATTACACTTATGGAATTTGCATAAATCTAGATCCAAACGACTTGCAACAAATCCATTTGAAAATTGCTACCTTTTTTGATTCTTTAGAGGTTTTTAAACACTGAAACGAAAAAACAATCCTTTCACAAGAGCAAAGAAGCTGCTTGTACTTCCAGGTTTAGATGCTTTTACCTGTTAACTAAAAGTCTGTAAGTGTGAACCATAAATCTGCTTTTCCTTTGGAAATGGTATGTGTGACACCCTCTTAATTGTTGACTTTAACTGTATACAGACTGAGTCACTAGAGCTTTTTTTTCTTTCATTTGAAAAGGAGGATGCTTTCTGCTCTGAAAGTTGTTTTTTTACTTGAAACAGATTACTAGCAATTTTAGCATGTGGTCCTGCAAGTGAGATTTGGTATGTCTGAACAGATGCGACCAAAACAATTTCTGGTAAAATATTTAATGAAATATATTTTAGATGATTTCAACCTGTGAATCTTTATTTTCCTGTAAGGTCAATATTGTCTTCAGTGGAAGCTGAATTGGGTCTTTAAATAGCAGAAAATCAAGAATCTATCAAGTAAAGTAATCTAGCTCCTCATTTACAGTTGAGACTTCTGGAATAGAAACAGTTAATTCTCTACTGCAGAGCCATGGCGTTTAACATGACACAGATTTTTTGAGCCTTCGTTGTCTTTGTACCTTACACAGGGTGTGTGTGCGCTTGCTTCCTATAACCTCTCAAGAGAAGTTCTACAACTACATTACATTAATTCTACCTTGTAACAAGTTGTATTTGAATGTTACAGAAGAGAGCTCGCAAAAACAAGTTGATGATTTGGGAAGTCGGTTTACAGAAGTTTTCATTAAACAGTCAGAAAACATCACCCTCCTGTTGACCCTTTTAGAGGTGAGTTAGTAGTGAGGTGCTTTCCATTTTTTTAATGTTGTCTTTGTGTATATCAGCTGTGAGAGAAACCTGCCAGTGTTCTTGCACAAAAGAGTATCTTGCATCACACTTTCAGTTATGATCCATGATTTTCATTCATGGACCATAACCTGTCTGTAGATTTTAATTTCTTACTACAAATAAGCTCTTTGTTCTGCACATCATTAAAGCCTTAAGTAACTTACACTGTCAACTGTAGTAAATGCTCCAGCAGTTTATTGTCCAGATGAAATTATGCCATTAAAATTTATATATATGCAGAATCCAAAATATTTGGCATTTAACCTAGTTGAAATTTTATTTTAAATTTTATAAGATTTTTAGTGTCTTACATAGAAGTATCAGAAGCACAGTCTTAGGGGTGTAGTCCTAATCACACTGTAGATTTTAGTCCAAGGGTGGACAAAATGCAGCCTGTGGGCTGGATCCAGCCTGCCAATTGTCTGCAGCCCGCAGATGCCCCTGTGGCACTCAGCATGGGGCTGAGCCCCACCTGCTCCTGCTTGGGGTAGCCTGCACCATGTTCCCACCCTGCACCTGCCAATGACTCCTGCCCTTGCCAGCGTGCACAGCTTCCTGGCAGGGCTGTTTCTGCTGCTCCTGCTGCTTTCGAGGTACTGTTTGGCTCCCCCACCTCCAGTGGCTCCTTTTCCTGCTCCTGTTGCACTGCTCCGGGCAGCAGGTAGTGCAGGGAAGACACAGCAATGAAAGGGATGTATGGCAATGACCACATGTCCAGCCAGGTGTGGGGGAAGCTGCAATTGGGTGTCTCCTGCCCCAGCGCATGGGGCTCCAGCTCCCACTCAGCTGCCTTCCACCCCGTTGGCCGCCTGTGGATTGCTGCTCATCACTTTGGTGGGTGGAGTGTATGGGAAGTGGCAGGGAGTTGGAACTAGAGCCCCATGCGCTGCGGCAGGAGTCACATAGCTGCAACCTTTCCCTTTGCCTAGCTGGGCCAGGCATGTGCTGCCTGGCACATGTCCTTGTGGCCGCTGCCACTTCCCCCACACTACCTGTTCTTCAGAGTGGTGCAGCAGGGGCAATTGGCAGAGGAAGAGCTGGTGACAGTGGACAGAACTGAGCAGTACCCATGTGGCTGCAGAAGTAGTGGGAGCAGACCTGCTGGGAAGCTGCGAGTGCTGGCCAGGGCTGTGGCGGTGTAACGGGGCCTTCTCAGGGCCAGTTTACCTTTGGCCTGCCCACCTGTTTCTGGGCCAACCACCTGCCTTCTCGCCCGCCATGCCTTGATGATATTTAATTAATAGTTAATTAAGCAGGAGGCTGCCCATTTCTTGCCCTGATGCCATGGGGCACTATCTGCTGCTCCATACCTCCCCTGTACTGCAGCCCATGCCTCGCAGGTGGCATCTAGCTGTTATCCACATCACTGGTCCCACACTGGGCCCCAGAATCCTCCTATCAGGACCCCTCCAAGATCCCTCCATTCAGGTGGCCTACCCCGCCCTCATTCAGGCTAACTAGCTCCCTGAAACTATTTTCCCCTCTCAGGTGTTGTCCCTTCCCCTGGGACCTTTGGCCACACAGGCCCTGGCCCCACCTCCAAGACCAGTTGGGCACCCCAGGCCCTCCAAGCTCTGAGCGTCCCTCGCTGTGGGCCCTTGGCCCTTCTGACCGTTCTGATCCTGGCCCCAGCCTGGATCAGTCGAGGGTACTCTCTTGATCAGGTCGGAGTCTCTAGCCCTGCTCTCACTCCTGGGGTCCGCCCTCAGGACCCTACCAGTGGGTGACCCACCCAGTTGTGAGAGCTGGGGTTAAGGCACCCCGACCCACCTTTCACCAGGGTGGTAACTGGCCTGGCATTTCCTGGGGGCTCCCGCGCCACTGAGAGCCCCACCAGGCCACCCACTCCCGGCAGGGTGCAGTTTTAGGTCATGCCCAGGACCAGGAGCCTCCTGATCATCCCCTACAGCTCCTCCCTTACCTTTAGGATGATGCGTGAAGCCTCCCAACCAGGTGCTGCTGCCTGCTTGCTAGCAGTGAACTGCCCTGTTTATATGGGCAGCCAGAGCTCTAAAATGGCCACCACAATTAAGTACCTGCTGGCTGCTTGGCCCCAGGTCTTAAAGTGGCAGGCACAAAAAGTGCCCTGCCACAGGCAGTGTTGTTGGCAGGCCTGGGCAGGAGGGCTCGGCCCTATGCTCTCCCACCCACATGTGCACACCCACCCCCCTACACCCCCAATATACAGAATTAAGACTTTTCTTTGAGCTGTTATGCAACTGCTTCTATATACACTACTCAAAAATAAATCAGGACAAATTATTTTTTGAAATGAAGTTAAAATGTTACAGTTATGGGGGTTGGTAATTTTTTGGGCAGAGAGCCAAAAACACCTGCAGCCTCGGCTTGTAAGATGTTGGCATACCAGGGGTGGATGATGGGGGAGCCGCTTGGGGCCCAATCCTTGTTATGGCAGCACAGCTCCGGTCCCTTCTATGCCATCCTCCCTGAGACGTGCGTGCCAAGCAAAATGCCTTAGTGTGCCATGCTCTGCCACCCATGCTGGAGGTTATCTACCCCTGTAATAGTAGGTTTGATTGATTGATTGATTGATTTTTAAGTATGATTTGTTTTTTATCTATAACTTGTTAAAATGATATCTTCTGAAAGATTTTATATGTGCAGCCTTTAACAGCTCACCAAAACTCATTAAGTGGCCCTCCAGTTGAAATAATTACCCACCCGGTTTAATTTCTTATTGCAAATTGGGTCTTTGTTCTGCACATCATTAAGACTTTAAGTAACTTATACTGGCAACTGTAGTAAAACCATGCTCCAGCAGTTTATTGTCCACATGAAAATATATGTAATTTTAATGGCATGCATTCATCTGGATAATAAACTGCTGGAGCATGGTTTTACTACAGTTGCCAGTAAAAGTTACCTAAAGTCTTAATATGTAGAACAAAAACTTAATTTGTAGTAAGAGACTAAAATCTACAGAGTAGTTGGGGCTAAACCCCTAAGACTGTAATTCTGATGCTTCTGTATAAGATGCTGAAACTCTTCTAAAAATTAAATTTAAACTAGGTTATCAAATTTAAACTAGGTTAAATGCCAAATATTTTGGATTGTAAGTACAGTCTGATTTTTATGGTACTTTTAATTATATATACACTGCAGCAGAATGGAGAGAGAACACCTTGTTAATACACATTTCTTAAGTAGGGTTGAATCTTAAATCTACAAATGCGTCTAGTTAATTCAATAGTCTGTTTTACCTCGGTGCTCCAGGTTCAAGACGGCAAGGAGAAATGTGATTACCTGGGTTTAATTTATAAAGAGCTTAGTGCCCAGTTTATTGACTCCTTGAATTGAACCTGACTTTCTTCTTCAGAGGGCTCACAAAGGCTACCTTAAATATTAGAAGTCCCAAATTGCTGGCTTTGGTCTGAATTATGTGAGAATTGCACATTGCATATCTTGCTTTGATCCCCTGTTCAATTAAGAAAACTGAGAGATGGTAACTTCTTAGACTGTTTTGGTAGTCCCTTATGGTTCGCCTGGCACCACCCCCCATCCAAAAACAAAAACCCCATCTAAACTGATTGTATCCCTCCTGTATATTCTGTGCATCTCTACTGGACACTGAAACAATTTCTGAAATAGTTTAAATCTTACCATTCTGCAGCTGGGAGCTACGGAACTTTCTTCCTAGTTTTGATTCAATCTTCAGTCTGGCAGTTGAAGTGGTAGAAAAATAAGGCTAAAGTCTTGTCTAAATGAGACAGTTTCACTAGTTAAAACTTCAGGTGGAATTTTAAATGGGCTGAGTGACATCAATACAAAGGCTTATATGAGCACTCTGGTTTTTTATTTAGTTTAAAATGGTTGAGAGTCAGTTTTAAGCTGAACCACAGTAGGTTTATTTAAATTTGTGTAGATCGCTCTAGATCAAGCAGTTTAGCCTTCTCAGTTAGAAAAGGCCTAACAGGTAGACAGAATTTGCTGAAATAACTTTTCCCCAGAGGCTGATCCTAATGGGCAAGGGTGAGTAGGATACAGCAGCTTTCTACATCCTGTGGATTTAGGAGAAGTAGGATCTGTTCCTTAGAGACTGGACTTGTGGCTGGAGTTGAGGAGGAGCCCTAAGAACAGCTATCTCTGGTAACAATGACAGAGCTGAAGTTACTGGCAGGTCATGTTGCTGTTAAAGCAAAAATGAAAAATCAGCCATGTGTTGTAGTAGAGGAGGTTTGGAGAGGCATTTGCTCAATGGTGAATGTGTTTGTATTTGGGTTGTTTGGCACTGAGTCATACAGCCTAATTATGAAGTCTTTTTTTAGGTTGCTTGAAGTGAAAAGCTGGTAGGTTCATTGCTTAATATTGTCCTTTGTGACCTTGCAGGAATTTGACTTCCATGTTCGCTGGCCTGGAGTGAAACTACTTACATCACTGTTAAAGCAGCAAGGACCCCAGCTGCAGCAGATAATTCTTGTCAGTCCCATGGGTAAGGAGTTTGGTTTGCCACTGGCTAACTTTAAAACTAGAAATCCAATGAAATATCAAGGACTTGGAGACTCTTAATAGAACATTA